AACGCCACCAGTAATTGCATAATGGCAACAGGGAGGGAAAGAGAACAAGAAAACAAGAATAATCCATCCGATTATCATTTTAAATAGCCAGCTGCTGATTCTAAGTTTCCGGACAAAGAGCGTATTCCTCAAATCAGATGTGCGAAGATCAAAGGCGTTCACAGACATTCTATTAACACTGCCGTAATTATACTTGTTATTACGGCAGGCTGAGGCATGCTGCCGGTGGCCGTTGACACACCCACGTTCGTGTGACCTCGTTTATATCAGCAGATAATTAGACTGGCAGTCCATTGATATGGCACGGTGACATCATGGGACTAATTTATGCATCTTGCACATTCACACGGAACACTGCGCTCATTCCGTTGTAATAAAGGGGTTTCTCCTCTGCGCTTCGTAACATTTCGACCTGTGCGATACGATTTTGACCTTGCACGGCATGGCCACAGTACCCATATTGCTTTCAGAGATCCAGGTCCTTCCTTGAAAAAAGTGACTTCTAAGCTCAACGCGATCTCACCGTGTTTTAGATACAATGTCCCGAGTGTGACGTGTCTTGATTTCCACAAGGCCCTTGGACCAAGAAGCACCAAGTCGAGAGAGAACACACTGTGCCCTAGAGAATGCGTGTATTGAGGAAATAGGACACCTGTCCAAGGCAACCCACCCCCTCTACCTGCGCAGGCGCGACACGCGTGACCGACTCCCCCCTCTCCTTACCACTCCTGCCTCCGTCAACCATTATAACAGCGGCCATAAGAGGCGTGGGTCACGGCCAAACCTTCCGCTTCCTCTTCCTCCCGCGCCGTGGGTGCAAACGATGATTGCAAGGGCCTTTGCCTGAGCAGTGTGCACAGACTTCGTTGTTTTTATGTCACGTATCTTAGACTCCAGTCGCACCATCGCTCAATGGAGGGGTGGGGGGGTTATATAATTCTCTTACACTGCTCCTTTATCCCATCCACGCAAGCTGTCAACTCCCTGTCCCATGCTCAAGAGCAGCCTCAGACATTCCCGTTCTTGGCCTGCCTATGCCCGACTTGTGAAAAATAAATATGCCCCACTCCTTTTTGCATAACTACTGGAGGAGAAGCGATCGCATTTACACGCGATATAATTCCACGTCGTATTTTATTCATAGGTGTGTTGGTTTGCATCACCGAGCATCGCGGGGGCAATTTCGATTAATCCTGAATATTTCCGGGAATCGCGTTACAGCTCCGCGCATCTCGCGGTGCGGTCACTGACGCGGGCACCCGAACAGGCTTCGGTTTGTGTTCGCGTGTTACTCGTTCCGCATCGATATCCTCGTGGCAAGACGCAAAAAAACTCGATGAGCACTTTTTTTTGATGTGCAAACAGCGAAATGTCAAATGCAGCAAACTCAATTGGTGTACCGCGTTTCGATGACCCCCGCGTTTATGTTGCCAGACTTCACCAACTCGGACTGACCGGGGTGGTGAAGTATGCTCAATTAAACCCACACGGCTGGAGGAAAATCTCATCTAGCAGTGGATTAACAAAGATCGCTGTACATGTGCCAGCCGCCTTGCTGGCAACTCGACTTTTAAAACCCTCGTGCATTTCCAATGAATGTTCAATCATGCAGATCGATCCTAACCCCGGCCTAGCCCTGACACGGACTAATCTCTGGACTATGACCACAGACCATGTCCCCGACCCCCGCTCGCGTCTCCTCGCTCCCGCCGGCCGAGGCCGCGCCTCCCGGGGACTCGCATCCAGGCGAGCGAGGGGGGGTACGCGGAGGCCTAGTGCCCCCGGCGATGCCGACTTCGCTCCCCGCGCTCACCAGGGTCGAACTCGTGGATGATGCTCTCGAAACGGATGACGGCGAAGAGCCGGGAGCTAAACCCGGCGAGGCAGGCGAGCGCGAGCACTGTGAAGGTGAGGAGCGATTGCAGACCCGCGGCCGCGCCGCCAAGGCGCGCAGCTCTGCCTGCTCCGCCATCTTACCCGGGGTGCAAGAGGACCAATGAGGGGCCGCTTTGCTTTCGACCAATCGCGTCGCGTTTCACTTGCAAGAGGCCAATCGCGGAGCGCCTAACTTAACGGAAGTGGCTTCTGCGTGGTGAGCTCCCATTGGGTGGCTCGGGAAGTGACGTCATGCTGAAGGTTGAGTTGGGGTGGGGGGCGTGGAGTGGGATGGGCTAAAAGATCAATGAAAGAACTCCAGTGGGGTGATTGGGGTAATGAGTGGGTGAAGGGTGATTGAATGGGTTAATGAATGAATAAGTGGATGGAAGGGTGAATGAATGGGTTAATGAATGAACAAGTGGATGGAAGGGTGATTGAATGGGTGAATGAATGAACAAGTGGATGGAAGGGTGATTGAATCATGGGTGGCAAGGCGAGGTTTGAAACAATTCGGTTTGATAATGTTTAAATAAAAAACCTAATATCCCGAAGGGCCAGTTAGGGTGAGGTTTTGAGGTTTATTATAAAAAGACGCCATTTTGGTTTTTGCAGGAAGTCTGACTGAAGTAACGGACTGCGGAAGGCCGGAGCCCAGAAATCAGAAATCTTGGCATTACCTGAGTTACTAATGTCATCAAACGAACCCAATTTCCACCTCGAGCAGGATCATGGATCAGGACCTGGATGAGGATTTACTCGATTCCGAAGAATGTGATAGTGATGTCGTAATTGTGATGGAGAATAATGGAGTGGCCAAGGCAGAGAGGATGGAGTGGCGACGAGGCATCGGCGAATGCAGGGAAGGCCAGAGGACGCTCGATGGGCCAGTTTTGGCACTACTTCACCGATGATCCGGAACCGCACAAGTTGAAGAGTGCCGTCTGCAAACATTGTCGCACCAGATTCAACCATCACAAGAAGAGTGAGCAGGCGATGAGGCACCTGAATGCATGCGCCGCTTTTCGGAGGGCAATGAATGGCACCGAGATAGATGATCGTCCCGAGTGGTATGCGTCGAACAAGAAGCGGGCGAAGCCATCGAAGGCAAGCGGCAGCTCAACTCCATCTACATCGAATGCTTCGTCGATGAAGCAAGGATCGATCAAAGATCACCTAATACCCATGCAGCTCGATAAGCGAACGAAGGAGAAGTTCGAGCAGGCCATAGCAATGCATTACTTTGTCTCGGGCACGTCGTTCCAGCGGGTCGAGGAGGAGAACCTGGTGATCGCTGTGAAGGCCCTTCGCCCAGATGCAGTGCTGCCGAACAGGAAGAGGCTGGCCGGACCATTGCTCGACAGGGCGTACATCGACATGAAGAAGAAGGTTGACACCGTCCTGGACAATAAGACCGTTTGCCTGACATCTGATGCGTGGTCAAACATCAAGAATGATCCGATTGTGAACTACATGGTCACATCGCCGTCCACAACGTTGTTTCTCGAGTCGGTGTCCACTGGAGAGCAGGGCCACAACGCTGACTGGATCGCCTCGGATCTTCAACGTGTGATGGCGTCCCATCCGAAGACTACATTCGCTGGCGCGGTCACCGACAACACATCCACCAACAAGAATGAGTGGGAACAGCTCTCGAAGGCTCACCCATCCTCCTATTTCCAAGGCTGTACGTCGCATGGTCTGCATTTGCTTGTCAAGGACATATTCTCTGCCACGAAGACGAGGAAAGCCGGCCAATCAGAACACACATACCCGATCGACTATCCGTTCGAGTACCTGCTTGAGTTCATCGTGGGGTGCAAGGACACGGTCAAATTGTTTCACAACAGTCACGTTCTCAAGGCACAGCTGCAGGCTGAACAGAAGATCGCTGGCGTTCGAGCGTTGGTCCGGCCGGCTCCTACACGTTGGGGAACGATCAAAGGCTGTTGCGAGACGCTGTTGTCGTCGGAGAGGATTCTGCATTCCATTGTCACAGCTCGCGACTTCATCAAGGGGATGGCAGCTCAGAAATGCGAGACCATCATTACGAGCGACGACTTCGTCTCTCTGTTGCAGAAGTCCCTTGCCATTCTCACACCCATCGACGCATTGATTGTCAAATATCAATCCGATTCCGTACCAGTCTCTGAAGTCTTGCCGGATTTTCACGCCCTCCCTGCTGAGTTTGCCAAGCTGCACGAAGACGGTCATGCGAGCACTGAAGAGATCAACTACCTGATCAAGTTGGCAGCAAGTCGCTTTCAGTTCATGTACGGAAAGGCCCATGGACTGGCGTATCTGTTAGATCCTCGCTTCATTGGAGAGGGCTTGAGCCCGGCTAATCGAAAAGAGCTGGAGAACATCTTACTGGAGACACCGATCGATGATGAGACGGCGGTTGATGACGAGAGGCGCTCTTTATGCAGCTCACCGAGTACATCATTTCGGCAGCAGGAGAAGGATGCCGGCGGGTTTAGATTCATTATGCTGCTCAAGGGACGTAAGACACCTTTGCAGTATTGGCAGTCTGACGGCGTGGCCTGGCCCGATCTTCAGAAGATCGGCGTCAAGCTGTTCACGATGGCGACATCCTCTGCAGCCTCGGAGCGCAACTTCTCAACTATGGGCTTCATACACAGCGAGCTCAGGAACAGCTTGGCGCCCAGTTCGGTGGAGAGCAACTATGCGGCGTTCGCCGAATGCAGTTATATGTCCGAGGGCAACGACATGACTCGTTGAGGAGGACTAGTACTGATCTGGAGTATTGAGAATAAAACCATGAGGTTTATTAGGTTTATTAAGGTTTATTAAGGTTTGAACTTTAAACCTCAAATTCGGATATTATTTTTTTCCACCCCTGGATTGAATGGATTAATGAATGACTTAGTGGATGGAAGGGTGATTGAATGGGTTAATGGATGAATGAACGAGTGGATGGAATGATGATTGAATCGGTTAATGAATGACTAAATGGATGGAAGAGTGATTGAATGGGCTAATGAATGGATAAGTGGATGGAAGGGTGATTCAATGGGTTAATAAATTAATGCGTGATTGAATGGGTTAATTAATGAATTAATGAGTGAATGGAGGAGTGATTGATTGGTGAGCAAATTAGTGAAATGGATAGTGAATTAATTGTGACGGTGCACATCCGCGACGTATGCGTGTTCCTGGCGCCCGTGTTCAGCGGCTTCACGGCCATCGCCACGTATCTGCTGACGCGCCAGCTCTGGAGCGGTGGCGCGGGCTCTTTGCCGCGTGCTTTATCGCCATCGTGCCGGGATACATCTCTCGCTCCGTGGCCGGCTCCTATGACAACGAGGGTGTCGCCATCTTCGCTCTCCAGTTCACCTACTACCTCTGGGTTCGTTAGTCACTGCTGTTTGCTAATTGATGTGCTCCTTTCGTGCTGCCGCATTGTGTGGTGGGCGATGCACGCTTTCGTAAAATTTGAGCAACCCAACACTTTTACTGTGGCCGTACGTCTTGTACTTCGACTCGGTGGTTCAAAGTGGCTGTGCTACTCTTCCCGAGTTTGTCATTAATGTTTAACCATAGGAGTCCTATGGTTAAACATTAAGATTCCTAAAGGTGCCTTCACGGCTCTGTGGTGTTGCATTAAAAGACGTGGATATGCATGTGGTGACTGTTCGTGTCTGGAAAACCTTTTCATGTGCAGACTCTAATTATGCAACAAAACAAACAAAATTGTAATAATATCCTTCAGACAGTATGATGTCACATGAGCTGAGATGTCACCTTCTTCCTTACTGTTGGATTTTTTGTTGAATTTCTAGTGACAGATGCAACCTCGTAATTTAGATTTGTATCACCTGTCACAGTGGATTTTCATAAACTCCTCAATCAGATGTTTTGCTATATTCTTTGGGTCTTTCGGTAAAGTCGAGTAGAACAAAACATGTTTACAAAAAACTACTAGAACTACTATGTTGTACAATTTTCTTTTGTTCTACGTGACTTACCGAAAGACCCAAAGAATATTAATTCCTGCAGTCATGAAAGCTTTAAGTCAAGATTCAGATGTTTTGCTTTTAAACATCACTTCGGTGAACGTTTTTCTCTGACGTTTGCCCATGTGGATTCTAATTGGCGATTGCTTTTGCAGTTTATAAAACCCCCTTTGCTTCAGTGACATAACCTGCAATTCTTCCTGCAGGTGAAGTCTGTGAAGACTGGCTCCGTGTTCTGGTCGACATGCTGCTGCCTCTCCTACTTCTACATGGTGAGCGATGCGATTCCCACTCGTGCGTGTATACGTGGCCACGGGCGTTGGGCTGGACGCTGATAGCGCCGTGTGGCTGTGCGTGTGCACCGTGCTGCTGCAGGTGTCGGCGTGGGGTGGCTACGTCTTCATCATCAACCTCATCCCCTTGCACGTCTTCGTGCTGCTCCTCATGCAGCGCTTCAGCCGCAGGCTATACATCGGTACGCCTGCCGATGCTGCACCCCACCGGGCGGTTTGTTTGCAACATTTCTTTGGGTGCAGTTGCACGGGGCGATGGAGTGGAGTTGTGGTGTTCACGAGAAGCTTTCTCCAAGCATTACACGTCTACATTGCTCGGTGCTTTCGATCCTCGGCCATTCTGCTTGGAGGGCAGTCCTCTTCCACCACAATGCGTGTCACTGCAGCTTACTGCATGTACACTGCGGGCCGTCCCGGATTGTTGGCCGAACATGGGCCCTGCCCAGTGCGAAAGCAGTTAGGTAGAGGCCTTGCATTGCAAAGCAGGTTGATACCTGGTTGACATCTGGCGGCGCAACCGTTGACTGGTCTATCACTATTGGCACTCGTTACGTTATCACGGCACCACAAATGTTTGACTGACGAGGCGCATTCTGCCTGCCACCGCGGTGTTGTTGAGAAATGATGGGGTGGAAGATTGCACTCATGTTTGCTCCTCCGCCCCTTCCTGTCCTCCCCCAGCTTACAGCACATTCTTCATCCTGGGCCTCATCCTCTCCATGCAAATCCCATTTGTGGGCTTCCAGCCTGTGCGCACCAGCGAACACATGGCCGCAGCCGGTGAGTCTCCACGCAGGGCACGGTGGAGGAGGGGGTGGGGTGGTGGTGGTGGCTCCGCTGGCCAAGTGCCCGTTCCCTGCTTTTAGAGATTCAAGTTGGGGGGGGGGGGGGGATATTCTATCCCGGCGCTTGAGATCCGGTTGCAAGATCACATGACTGTAGACTTAGGAATTAGAGTTGACGAATCTAATTTTGTTGACGATACGAGAGAAAGCTTCATAATAGGACGATTAATTGTCGCTATGTCAATTTCCCATAGCTTTGTAATTGTATCTTGTATTTTGAATATTGATTTTGTGCTTTCCTGTGCTTCCAATAAAAAGGAATGTGCACGACTGCAATAAAAATAACGATTACTTAAATGTTATTCAGCTGTGGGTCGCTTAACATCATCCTCCTATAAGTCTTCCTATCATTGCAAGTTTATGATCTATAATGTTTTTAACGCATGCGCTGTTAGTGTCGGAAAAAAGTAATGCATTAATTAGACTAACGATGGAAATTATGACATAACCATCATGCTAACAAAATATCTGCATCTCTGATTAGTGTAGTTGGCTACGTACGGCACGGAAGAAGTTCAACATGCATACCATTTTCACTTGATTTTATTTGAAGGAAATAAAATACTGTTAAGAGCAAAACTGGCCTTATATTGTCATACAGTACTGTACATGATAATATCGCTGTATCTCTGAAAACCTATTGGGAATACATTCGGGTCTGACTGCCCGTGATGACCACGTTGCTCGTGCAGGGGTGTTCGTGCTGCTGCAGGCGTACGCCTTCCTGCAGTATTTGCGCGAACGACTGACGCGGCAGGAGTTCAAGACGCTGTTCTTCGTGGCGGTGGCGCTAGCCGCCGGCGTGGTGTTCCTCACCGTTGTCTACCTCACTTACGCGGGTGAGCTACGCCGTGCCCGTACACAGCGGTCGTTCCACTCTGGGTGGTGCCACCAGCGGCTGGCTTTGCTGGTGTGGCCCACAGTCTGCGGACGAGATGCACTGAGAGCACCCTCTGCACTGGAGCTTAAACATGCGGCGGAGGGGGGTACGATGTCGAATGGGTTTTCTGTAGGGGGTTGAGTGGCAAGTGACTGTGCTAATAAATAAATACAAATATGGCCAAATTATTGATAATGGGGCACAAGCGCAAGGCAACTTAATTCACTAAATTCGTCATTTGCGCTGTCGTACAATGTAAGTGTATAAAACACTGATATTTTGTCCAATGTTCTCTCTTAAAAGCACGGAAAGGGTGGTAGATTGACACACATCGCAAGTGTTCTTTACTCTGGGGCGCTGACAGAACTGGGAACTTTTAAGCAACCTGATATGAACAGTTTTGAATTGAAGTGTGAACTCGTTTAATTCAAATAATACGCATACATTGATTTAAACGAAAAGTGAAATTAACAAATGCATCATAGCAAAGCCGATCGTGTGTGTAAGTGCAGTTTTGTGTTATGGTTCCAAAGCCATGTCCTGTGTGAGGCCAGTACTGCTGCGGGGATGGTCTTACCCACCTTGTCTTGCTTCTCTCATCTTTGTCACATCCCGTCCTCTGCACTCCCAATCTCTACTGTCCCTCTCTGTGCCTCGCTCGCCCTGCGCCCAGTCTTGCTCTCTTGTTCATTTTCTCTTCTGCCTCCCTTTCACTGGAACAAACTCTCACTGCACATAAAACAATCAGCTTCACTAACCTACTGCCATTCCTCTCTTAAAACCCATCTCTTCTCCCTCAGCGCATCCTACTGATACCAGGCCGACCGCAAGCCGTCACTACCCCTACTCCTCCTTAACCACTCCCATCTGCCCTCCTGTCACCAGAACTACACCAGCACTTTTATTAAGCCCAATTTTTTTAAATCTCGGCCATTATCATCTTACGTACAATTGCATAATTGCTGTAAGGCGCCTTGGAATAAGGAGCTACATAAATCTAGATAAGTTATGATCATCACTCATTATTACTGCTCCTACCCCTGCCGTCTTCAGGATACATCGCTCCTTGGAGCGGAAGATTCTACTCCCTGTGGGACACTGGGTGAGTTGTTCACAATAAAAAAAAATCTAGCAAACCGCTGTCCGTCTCTGGCACGACACGAGTTTCTATGTTCGCGTTAAAGCGACAATATGCTCATCGGGTGTAACGGTTGGGCTACTCGGTGAGCCTTTTTCTGGGTTTTTGTTTCGTGATAAACGTATTCTCTGTCCGGCTTTCGCCATGCACCACTGCGGGCTTCAAGAGCTCCGTTAGTGTTTGACATAACCATCATGTTTGGCAAAAACTTGCGAGGCGAAACGCTCAACACGCGGCTTAACTTTGAAGAGCCGCGGGTGGAACACGAGAGGCTGAGAAAGCATACGTATGAAGTTGAACTCCTGTTGCAGGTATGCCAAGATCCACATCCCCATCATCGCGTCGGTGTCTGAGCACCAGCCCACCACGTGGGTCTCCTTCTTCTTCGACCTGCACATCCTGGTGTGCGTTTTCCCCGCCGGACTCTGGTTCTGCATCAAGGACATCAACGACGAGCGGGTTTTCAGTGAGAGCTACGCGAGCACACGCCCCTCCCCAGTCCCAGCGGGGGGGGGGGGGGGGGAAGAGTCGCACCTCTCTCCTCCGCTTGTTTGAGCGTCGCAGCCACGGCGTTGTCTTCTGAGACACACTACGACGCGTGGATTGTTTGACCGATTAGAATCGATTTCTTGGCTCGCTTTCACTTTCATTGAATCGAGAGTGTAAAGATTCAACTGTTTATTTGTGTTTATATGGATGGGAGGTTGGCTCAGCGATTGGTGCTTCGTGCTCTGAACCCGTCGACCTGAGTTTTATTTTCTCTACCACGGCTAACGTCCGTGGCGAGTGATATCTGAACCGGTCCCGGGCTCTTCCTCCGCCTTTGCCAACTTGCACTGACCAACCTAAAGTATGGTAAAACAACCCCCATGATCGACACGACATAGAGAGGCCTTCACCGGTGGATTGATGAAGGGCTGAGCATGTGTTGTATGTGTTATTGGTTCACCCGACCCCTGCAGCCACTACATTCATCATAACAAAAAAAATCGTCCAAACGTAAGCGAAATGTTACCGTCCTGTCTGACGGAGCCTGACTTGTTATGTCCTGCTTTGTGTTTTATTCTGCACGCACGCATGTGCACAGTCGCTCTGTATGCGATCACGGCGACGTACTTTGCGGGGGTGATGGTGCGGCTCATGCTCACGCTCACGCCTGTGGTGTGCGTGCTGGCCGGCATCGCCTTCTCCGACACGTTCCGGCAGTACCTTGCCGACGAGCGGCAACCCGAGCGACGTACGGGTGGGGACAGCAGCGACGACGAGGACGAGGGCAAGCGCAGCACCCCCAATCTCTACGACAAGGTGTGGGTCCTGGGCCTCCCCTAGGTCGACTCGGCCTCAAATGAGTACCCGCTGTACGGTGTGAACATCGCCACTGGTCGTGGCTTTGACCACCCACCGTCTCGTTTGCCGTGCCATCTTTAATAGGTGCTCGCTAACGGCACTTGCCCCAACAGTTTGTTTAAAGCCTATATGTCTTTTGTGCGTGCGTGTGCGCGCATGTCTGTTTGTGCGGAAGGCGGGCAAGGTGCGGAAGTACCCCTCGGAGCAGGAGAAGAGCGAGGAGGGGCTGGGTCCCAACGTCAAGAGCATCGTGGTCATGGTGGTGCTCATGCTGCTCATGATGTTCGCCGTGCACTGCACCTGGGTCACGAGCAACGCGTACTCGAGCCCCAGCGTCGTGTTGGCGTCGTACAACCATGACGGGTCCGACCCTTGCCACATCGCACTCCCCCCCCCTTCCCCCCACTCCAACCGCAAGCATACACGTGGTGCACATGTGTCATTGCTCTCACGCAACAACACGCAACAACACGCGAATACATGGGCATGTTTATTTTAGCAGCTTCACATGTGACACTGTTCAACTTGTGTGAGTTTTTGTAACCAGGTGGTAAATAATCACCGAATTTTTTTTAGATCTTTTCATGAGGGTCCATAGGATGTGTGGTGTTTCTTTGTGCGTGTTTTTATGCATGTTTGGATTTTTTCATGTGTTTTGCAAGTTAGCAGGAAACCTGGACAATCGGTACTTTTGTTATATTTGACTGGGAACGATGTCCGGTTCCTGTCTTTTGGAGCCGATAACCAACTGGAAATGGTTACCGGTTCGCCGGTTGTTGTTAAACAACCCTAGTTGAGATCACAAATATGCCACCTTTCGTAATGACGGTTGGTAATGTGTGACGCTGTGATCGGAACCCACGGGTCAATGTGACGCTCCCCTTGCGTGTGTCCCCACAGGACGCGAAACATCTTGGATGACTTCCGTGAGGCATACTACTGGCTGCGGCGAAACACGGACGAGCACGCGCGCGTGATGTCGTGGTGGGATTACGGGTACCAGATCGCGGGCATGGCCAACCGCACCACCCTCGTGGACAACAACACGTGGAACAACAGCCACATAGCGCTCGTACGTGGATAGAATCGCACCGATTCACGCGCACAGCGCACGCATCGCACGCTAACGCACACACCAGGTTCGCAAAAAAAACTGCAGCGATGTGGATGCCCCCACGTTCTGTAACCCAGGTGGGCAAGGCGATGTCGTCCAACGAGAGCGCGGCGTACGAGATCATGCGCAGCCTGGATGTCGACTACGTGCTCATCATCTTCGGGGGTGTCATCGGCTACTCGGGCGACGATATCAATAAGTTCCTGTGGATGGTTCGCATCGCCGAGGGGGAGCACCCCAGGGACATCCGCGTGAGTGCCGCCCTCTCCCCCGCCCCCGAACCCCCACAACGGTCTAGCACCTCGTCGCTCTCCTGCAACGAGCGCACACAGCGGCGCCTGCCGCACTCGGGCAGCGCAAGCGCTGGCTAATGCCGCAACTCCCTTGGCCTACTCCACCCGTGAGGTTCCTGGTAGAGCAGGGTCAATCAAGGGGAAGAAGCGAGGCGCCACATGCCCAAAGTGCTATAGTTGGAAGTTTCATATCATACAGAGTAGCAAGCAGCTTCATCTTAGTTTCTTGCAGAAGACAGCCAATCCCATCAGTGGCCCAAGGTTCTGTGAAAAGACCTCTAAACGGAGGATGGTGGTAGTTTCACATTTTCCGTCGTCGATTGAAACCCGCAAGTGAGGGATATTATGTTGACCCGTTTGCTTGGCGACTACCACTGGAGGGCACGAGGAGTTTATGATCACTCGTGGGTGCTGGATTGATGCTTCGCAGGACAGTGATAGATGGTGGCAGCAGTGGATTGACGATTATGTTGATGTGGTTTGGTCGTGCTGACGGTGCCACACCCCGTGTTTTGTGTCGCGCGTGTGCAGGAGAGCGATTACTTCACACCGCAGGGCGAGTTCCGTGTGGACCGGGGTGGCTCTCCCGTGCTGCTCAACTGCCTCATGTACAAGATGTCCTACTACCGCTTTGGGGAGATGCAGGTAGGGTGCGAGCAGGACGCCCACCTGCCCAGCCCGTCGCACACCACATGGGAAGCGGTAACGTCGAGACCCAAGCACTCGGCTCGGTGTTGTAACTTTTTAGGTGTGTTAGTTTTGTTCCCCAATATTATCCCAATTTGTGTTAACGGCGTCGATGTCTTGAGATGAAGAATCCATTCGGAACTCTCACAGAGACGGTCCGAGAGAACGGTCCACAGAAGCGGGTATCGCAGAGCTCCCCCTGAGATACCTTAAAGTGACCTCTAGGCTACACGGTAGGGGGGCAGCACTTGTCCATTGCCAGAGAATGGACTCAAAGCTGGAATGTAGCCGTATTAATTGCAGAACCAAATGTTATTATCATTGAACTGGCTGAGACCATCAACTCAATACACGTTAGAACCCGGTTGGTTATAGCACATTTAGCCGGCTGGATTCAAACTAAGGATCTCAGCAGAGCATTCTGACCTCTGAGCAAACCAGGCCATCTTGGGATCATCCAGAACTTGTAGAGTGCGGAAAAATACAATGTTCTACACTCTCCTCGGCCTACTTTGCCAACCCGCGCTGACCAGCGTGATAAAGTATGCTCGTATGACCCTCACGCCATGCACGGTGTGGGGAGGCCCTCGTCCAGTGGAATGATGAACGTCGCTGTACGAGGTTGCGAGGTAAGCACGTAATCACACGCCACGGTGTGTCGGCCCGCGCTTGGCGCAGCTGGACTTCCGCACGCCGCCCGGCTTTGACCGCACGCGTAACGCGGAGATCGGCAACAAGGACATCAGCTTCAAGCACCTGGAGGAGGCGTTCACCTCGGAGCACTGGCTCGTGCGGATCTTCCGCGTCAAGCAGCTGGAGAACCGCGAGCCGCTGGGCCGCAAAGCGCGCTCCACCAACACCGTGCCCAAGCAGAGATACGTCTCCAAGAAGGTCGGATCCACCTCCTCACCCGCACGCACCAGGCGCCAACCCTACGTGTTTGGTCATGTGAATAATTGATTGTGAAAATGTCTCGCTGAGTTGTATTCTGCGACGTCTTCGTGTCCATTGGGGGAGGTTACGTCTGTTGCTGTTTTGCTGCGCCAGGCGGTTCAGCTCTGTATCCCTTGCCCAGTTTTGTTTCGCTTCCTTCTCTGTTTCTATGCATGTTGAACATCTTTTGCACCATACGTAGGTAACCTTGCTAATCGGAGATGCGGGGGAAGGACAACAAACTAAACACAAGCAGTTCTAAAGAAATGAGTTTTCAATCTGGATTTAAAAGTGCATAGCTCCAGTGACTTGATATCGGAAAAGCTTTCCAGACGGCCGCAGACGCACATATGAACGCGCGCAATACAGTGGACCGTCTTTGTTTGACTAGCCAAAAGCCGTTTCGAGGATGACCGGAGTTCGTGTGATGACGAGCTTAGCAAGTTATTGTGGTTCATTTGAGCAAGCACTTTGAAATGAGTGCCACCTTATAAGTTAGTTTTTTTGACACTGCTTGGCCTGATAATTGGTTTTTTACCCTTCTATCTGGCAACAAAACTGACACCTTTTCACAAGGAGTCATGTTTGCATAGACCGCAATACCTGCAGTCATAAATACAAACAAAAGACATAACTCTGATAATGTGCACTGTCCTTGAAGTTGATTGGTCCACACCCGAGACAGCTTTCCTTAGATCCAAGTCTCACATGGGTTGGACCAGATGACGCCAAAAGGCGCACTTTTGGCGTCATCTTGTGAAAAGGTGTCAGTTTTGTTGCCAGATAGAAGGGTAAAAAACAATTATCATATTTTTACTGGCAAATGAGGTTCCCATAGTGTAACTGCTTGGCCTGTTGATGCATCCTCCGTCACGTGCTCTTCAGCCGTCTGCGGATGCCTTCCAGCATGGTGTATGGTAGTCTGCCACTGCTCGTCCTTGTTACAATAATATTTTTCACGAGGTTCCTCTTTGGTAAATTCCATGATCATTTGGTACGAAGGAGAAAACTCTTTACACACGATGGGGGGAAACGCTGATAGCTTCGCATGTATAGATTCAAAGATCCATTGCTGTACTGCCATCTCCCAGCCACCTTGCAGCCCAATTCGGTACCACCTGAATCGAGGTAAACTATTCCAGGGGAGCCAAGCAGGACTGTTGTGTGGGGAGGTTGAGCATATATACCGACACGTGGATGCTTGCGAGATTCCTATGTGTATCTTGGTTAAAGAGCCCTTGCTCTGGGTGCAAGTATCTTGGTGAGTTATGCAGATTTGTGAAACTCTCAAACTCAGCTGGATTAGTCAGGTGACCGGGAGAGATGGCAGTGCAACAGGTGGGTTTGTAAACTTATCTGTTAAGACCTTGGAGTGCTGTCCTCTTGAATTAATTGGTTTTATCAGAGTACTCGTTTCTCCCACATGAACAATGCAAAAGAGGATATCAGCAAACTCTCTAATTGCAAGGACCCTCTTTAAAAGCCTCTTCAGACTCGAGGCTTTTGTGGATTAATACATTATATTACGTGTGCTGAAAGTTGATCAAGTACAATAGGTGGTCGTTTCTCTTGGGGCTTCTGTGACGTCAAAAGGTCGACGATGCCTGGAAGCTTTGCCCCGTCTTGCAGGGAATAATGTGACCTTGACAAGAGATTGAAAGCGCGAGGCAGTATCGCCAAAATGCGTCGCAGTCCTCGACGCATGCTGCCGTTTCGCTCGGTGGCGGCGCTAACCCTGCGTGTCCGCGTCCACCCGTGTGTCACGCAGACGAGCAAGAGGAAGCGCGGCCACATCAAGAACAAGATGGTCATCAAGAGAGGGAAGAAGTCGACCTCGAAATAAAAGGGGTCGCACGTGGAATGAATTCCAATCAATCCGCCCGCCCTCCTGGAGAACTGAGTGCTTGCCCCACCGGGGGCACGGGCGAGTTGCAGGGTGCCCGTTGTCTCGCGCTGCCGAGGCAATAGTTTTATTTCCGTTGGTTTATTTTCTTTCTCCTGTTGTTTTCTTCTTACAACAAAGATTGTATATATGGCATCACCTCTCTTTAAGTTGTGACAGCGGAGGATGGGGGGGGAATGTTCTTTCGTGAAAGCGAGTTGCCCCGATGGTAATTGTGCGTCAGGACCATTGCACTGATGTCCGGCGTACGTGAAGGCGTGCGCGCTTTGAAGCTTTCGGCCGAATGACGTGAGATTAATGGGGAGTTTTACAACTTCAAAAAATTAGCATCGCATCCACTGGAACCCCTGTCTTAACCAATAGCCGTGTACCATTGTCACCCAATAATTAAACCCACGTAATTGTGTTAACCATGTCCATTCTGCAACTGTCTTGTTAAGTTTACAAGTTTAAACTTACCACCTCCTTTGAGTGCATGCATTCTTCTTGTTTAATGATTGTGGAGCTGTATTTTGCATCTCCTTAGTCCATGGGCCGGATCAGAAATTTGGTACAAGGTGGCAAATGCTCACTGGCCATATAATTAAATTGGCATAAGTGAAGTATTTGATAACCCACACGTTGTAAATGTTTATCATCATAATTCGCTATTTTCCTAAACATCAAAGAAATTGGAACTGCAAAATTCTTTGCCGTCTCGGGCGGCACCAGCAAATGAAACGTCTGGTCTGGGCTCACTGGACGACCCGCGGCCTGTCCGTGTCCCGACCGCGGTGAAGCACGTGCTGATCTGAGCGGCAATGCAGGGCGGTTTTCTGCAGTGCTCTCACGGTGGCCAGGACCCCTCCCACTACCCTCTCCACTGAATGCACTGGGGACAACTGGAAAGAGGCTATGGATTGTAGAGCGGCGCGTGTGGCGGGGTCAACAGCTGGGAAAGTCTCTTAGTTTTCACGAGTTGGCGGGTGGCAAGGTCAACTGTTTGGCACAGGTAACTGTGACTTGGTAAGCCGTGCATTACCGGAGTGGGGTGGGTTGTGTTCCTCGTGATGACGGCTCTTTTTCACAAAGACATGCGAATACTTTTTAACTTTATTTACTCGATAGTAAATTATTTGTTTCATACAAGGACCATGGGAGTGGGAGCTTCCATGCGCTTGCCATGCACTGAGGAATATTAGCAGCTCCAGGCATTATTAAACCATTTCCTGTTTGGACACCCAAGTAAACTACGTTTCAGACGGAAACTCCCCCTTGACTCAATTATAATTTGTAAATGTTTTCTCACTTGCCATGAGGCTGCTGTTGATTTGTAAATGTTTTGCAAAATTGTCTTTCTTTTTGGGTAATTCTGTAAAATTTGACCAATGGATGTTGACAGCTGAATAAATAAATAAAAACCCCCGCTGCATATTTATCCTCGTAATCAAATTTAGTACAGGGCATCCTAAACTGGGATTGTTGCACACCGCTTTCCACGTTTGCCACCATTTCAGTACAAACGATATTGTTCGTTGCTGGTAGCACATCCCACGCGGAACACACTGGTATCCCCGCTGCTGTCTTATGCTCCAGCCATCACCAGCGTGGGATGCAGACTGCAGTTTGGGCAACTAAACCTCGTGGTATTGCTCTGCTCGCCTAGATATGGCTTGGCTTGACAACTTTCTACAAAATAATCAACTTTTTGCAATTAATACTGACTTCAGTTGTGCTTATTTAAATAAAAAGTAATTCATAAGTTCCAAAGAAACTTTTTTCAGCAATGTTCGTTCAAGTGGGTGTAGTAATCCGACTGTTGCTTTTTTCGAACAACACAACTCCTTCCCAGAGCAATGCCATCTCCAAAGCCCTTTGTTGTGCAAGTGCTTACACGCATCAATGTATATGGATCCACATTTACGTTTGTAGAACCTTTATTTGCCCATGTGCTGAACAGAATATAAAATAAAGTATTGCATAGCTTTGTAATCAGATGCAGGTCCAGTTATAATAAAATCCACAACTTTTATATCTGAACAATTTCCAATGTACAATTCGCGGCAATGGACCAACTCAAGCTGCACCCCAGGATGGTTCCACTGAAAAGGGATCTGTGAACTCGGAACTGGGCCTGCTCTTCGGACACAGGTCGTGGATGTAATCATTTGCTCTTGATCTAGTAGGGACCCAATTGTGTCAGTGCAATAACCGAAAAGACCGAAGGGTACAGGTGGTAGCAACACGGCCTGGCGATTAAGTTTTGTCAATCTGCTATCGGCGGACACAGCCTCATTCGTTTACCCATCATTAGCCAAGCCGCTCATGGGGCTTTTGCTAACACTCGCGCAGGGTTCTTCAATGGGTGGTCTCGTTGGCCAGGTGTGACCTGCTAAACTTTGGCCCACCAAGAGATATAGCTTGTCGAGATAGACTAGTGTGACAGTGAGGCAAATGCGACTGAAGACGAGGTACAGGTTGGTGGTCTCATGCACAAATGCTATGATGTCACAACACCATGTGACCTCAACGCCTGGACACCCACTACTGCCAGCACCTGCTAGCGTTTTTTTTGGCCAGCCGGAAGATACAGTTGAAGAACCCTGTCGTAGGGAAACGCAGACGATTCGCCAGGACACCCAGGGCAAGGGGATGTGTGGCTCAAGCTGATGGCACAGCCTTAGCACAAGTCCCACATAACAAACCCACATGTAATAACAAAAATCAACGTATCATCATTACATGGCACAAACATAATTATAAAAAAATACGCCAATGACTCCCGCACGCAGAAAGTGACGCATGAAGTTACATTTCCATCGTCAATGAGGAATAAGGTTCGGAGAGAAACGAGAGCCACTGCCTTGGGGTGCAGGAAAGTGCAAGCGGCACAGGCGGGCAGTGGTTGGGGGACGAGAGGGAGGAGAGGAATAAGGCACTGGAGTACAGCGCAGTCTCTGTACTGACAGGAAGGGAAGGCTGCAGCGGATGCAGCAAGGAGGTCCCGTACGCAGAGGGCACATTCAAAAGACGAAACACACGCACACCGAGCTATGAGCGTGGGAACACCGTTAAACATGCAATTATGTTTAGACAAAGTAAATAATTAAGCGAGAAACAATGTCAAATTAAGACAGTTATTCGTTTTTAGAGGTTCTAAACATTTCACTTTTCATTACTGGATATAGACATTTTTGGCTTCCAGTAGTGTATTAAGAACGTTTTTTTAATATATTGCAATTTTATAATCCTTGTGTTAGATTATTAAAGATTCATCAGCCACAGGTAAAGTCGAGTTAGTGTCGCAGTTAAGTCGCGTTGATTTACGGTTGGGAAGGAAGTGGGAATCCGGACAGCGAAGCCTTCACCTGGGGGTGGTTAAACACCCACCCTTCGCCCTGCAACACCAGACGACACAAAACAAAAACGTGTGATCACCGTTTGAACGTTCAAACTGGCACAGTTTCATGCGAAGTGAGAACGTCCCATCGAATGCTTTCAGATGCGCTTCTGCGGCCGTCTGGAACGCTCTTCGATATTAGGAAGCCAATGTAGCTTGAAGACTCATTTCTTAAGAGCTGCTTTTGTGTTTATTCATAATCAACGATTTTTGGGTTTAGATCGCGTTTATTTATAAATGTGTCCCCTCCTTCAGCACGTGAATTGGGCTGATGATACCTTCTGTGTGCGTCGGCTACCGTGCGGCTGAATGAGTGAGTAGCGCACCTCCTTGCTGAAGTATTGCGTGTTCCAGGGCGTGCCGCTTTCGGCACGCCGCCGCTCCTCCTGCGCTGGCGCTCCTCCAGCTCGTGCTTGTGCTGCGTGGCGAGCTCCAGGTCACCCGCGCGCAACGCCTCCGTCACGCACTGCCACAGGCGTCTGTGTGGCGGGGTGGGGGGGTTGGTCAGCGTGTTGGTTCACCATGTGTGCAGTGGTGCTTCCCAAACCCACGGGGGTGGGGGGGTGGCACGTACACAAACGTACAAAAACAAAGATCCCCGTGTAGCCTTCACAGACTCTTGGGGCAAGTGCAGTCAGCGAGCACCTATGAAGGCTGGCATGGCACACAAGGGGGTGGATGGCCAACAAGGTGCCCAGCTGCCTTTGTCTCCCTAGTGGCGATGTTTACATATTGTGCAAGGCACTCGTTTGAGGCTGAGTCGATCTAGGGGAGGCCCAGGACTGGTTCAGCTAATTATCACTGGTTCTTGCCATGAGCGAGAAGTCGGGTCGCCGGGTTCGTAGCACTCACCGCTGCGCCATCTCTCCCCACGAACGTACACAAGGACAAGCACAAACACATTCAAGAAAACAAATACATACACGTACGTACATAGGCAAAGACAAAAAGGTCCCCCCCTATAGTCTTAAACTATTGGGGCAAGCACTGTTAGTGAGTACAGAATGAAGGCCGAGATGGCACACAGAGGTGGATGGTTAGAACCATGCCAGCCACCCCAATAATGATGTTTACACATGGCACAGGTACTCATTTAAGGCTAAGTCGACCCATGGGAGGCCCAGAACCATTTCAGATACTCGTCACCAAGGTTGGCCATGAGCGGGAATCGAATTCGGGTTGCCGTGTTTGTAGCGCAGGGCACAAACTACAAGCTACCACAACACTGAACCTCATATAGGCGCACACATAGGCACACAAACACGTATTTGCACGCATGCAATCCACTCACAGAGGTTCTGCAGCACCCACTACCAACTCACATGGTTAGTTGCAGGACCACGGACAGACATACGATGTAAAAAAAACGCAAAGGGTCTAATTCACATTTTTGCAAAAACCCACTTTTCTGCATGTTTTCAGTGCAAGAAAAATTGGCCAAATCTGCAGTAACGGCAACGACAATGTATTCACCATACTACATCAGTCAGGCCCAAATGTCTAAAAGCGAGGTCAAGGGCAGTGGGCGTATGTGCCGGGGGTGGCAGCACCTCGACTCGAA